CAATTCCGTTTAATTGAACATTTTACCTCGATTTTGATGAATGAACGATTTTTTGTTTTTTTTGCCCTCATAGTTCACTGACATGTTCGCTACTGTTAATATGCTCAACTATTAAAGCTGGGATGTGTATTCTAATGAAAGAGTGAACTAATTGGAGTCTATTTATTGAATATTTCAAACTGAAATCAGAACATAGCTTGAAATGAAAAATGACACATTTTAGTTTTAAAGTAGAAATGAACTTCTCTGAAATAGTAGAAAAAAAAAAACTTTTTTTTTTCCCCGAGTGTTTACATTTGACTTCTTTTTGTTCTGTGTTGTCTTACCTAAAGACAAAATGTGTCCAAACGAAGGACATTACTTCAAAATGTTGCAGATTGGATTTATCATGTGACGCTGCCATGAAAATAATCTTAATAATCAACATGGGACGCAGTGATCCCCCCTCTGCAGCCTTCTGAGGTAGTAACAGAGGCGTTACAGAGGAGAGGCAGGATCAGTGGGGGAGCCAGCGGGGGAGAACAGCACTGTGTGTGTGTGTGTGTGTGTGTGTGTGTGTCTCTGACTGTGTGTGTGTGTGTGTGGAGCTCCCACGCATTGCCATGAAGCAAGGTGAATTGACACACTGGGACTCATGTATGACGCCGTTCTGGAATCAGTTGAACATGTTGGAAGTTGATTTTCCTCGAAACGTTGTGGTTATTAAACTCTTAGTTTCAGTGAGTTCATTCGAGGTGAGTCTTCTTCTCGATGCTGCAGGTATAAAAACAATGAAAACACATTTTCACTCCTCTGTTATAACTAAACGTTTAACCTCTTTTGAAGACAGAATTAGGAGTATTGTTTCACACTCACAATGGGCCGGTTGTGTCAAGGACTCGGGGGGCCACCTGCATCATGAGATACTTGAATATTATTGAAATATGAAATATAGACGAGTATATATAGTATATATAGTACATATAGAGACGAGTGTTGCTGCCCTCTTGGCCAGGTCACCATTGCGAAAGAGATCTTGATCTCAGTGGGTTAATTACCCGATTAAATAAAATTGCCATAAATGTATTTTTTGTAAACAGCTTCCAACAGAACATGGCTAAAGTGAAATCTTCTTTCTTTCTTATTTCTTATTTTAGAAAACACATTCATGTTCTCTGAGGGGGTTTAATACATGAAAAAAAGGACAGAATAAACAAGTTAAACTGCATTGAATGGCTCCTGCAGAAAAGACGAAGAGTATAAAATAAATAACGGCTTATGATGAATGTAGCGTCAGAGTGAAACTCTGGGGAATGAAAATATCAATCAGAAGAACAGTCATAACAGGAGTGTGATTTCATCCCTTCAGGCCTCCTCTGTGTCACTTCAGAATCCCAACAGAGCATCAGGACGTTCATCATCATCTCGTCCTCACTCTCTCTCTTCCTCCTCCGTCTTCCTCCTCGTCCTCTGAAAGCCTCGGTGTGTGTCAGAGCCGAACACTTGATTCCTCCTTCTTCAGTAAATATTTGAAAGCAGGATTGTTTCTTCTGTTTTGTGTTTTTTTAAGTCCTCCCTCTTCTTCTCTGAGCAGGAATGTCAATAACAGCAGGCGAGAGTTTTCCTGTTTAAATGTCATTTGTTTTACTTGTGTGGTCACAAAGCTCAGGAGGGAGGGAGGGAGGGGGGGGGACGAGGAGGAGCGGGGGGGGGGGGCGAGGACGAGGAGGAGCAGGGGGGGGGGGGGGGCATCCAGAAAGTGACATTTTTACGGTAACAGTCTCCGTCTCTCGGCAACACACTCAAAGACCTATACACACTGACGGCACACAATTGTGTTTGGCACCAGGGAAGTGTTAACTGGCTAATCCCTTACGGCCGCCCAGACGCTGCCTGCTGCTAATTCACCCGCTCTCCACAAACCGGCCAGTGTTTACACACCAGACCTCCGTCACTGTGGACGAATGGAAAAAAAAAAAAAAAAAAAAAAGCTCTTCACATGAGCTTTTCTCTCCGTGCAGAGGAGCTGTCTGTCGTCTTTCAGCATTTAGAGAAACTGCAGCGCAGAGTCGATTAAACCGAACGCACACACAAGACAGAAAACGGACACTTTGAGACGCATGTTATATATAACCTCTGAGAGTCCACAGCGCCGACATTCAGCAGGATATTTTCAAACTTTGAATGAATACACATTTTTGAAGAGTGGCTCCAGTCTCTGATGAGCAAACAGGAATACACAATAATGCAATAAGACACGTTTACACACATTTCAGGGGTTTTTGTTTTCCGGAAGAATTTGAAGAAAACTGCAGAATATTTAGGATATCAAACCCACGCTGACTCATCTGACATACTAAGTTTAGATATCTTAAGTCCACATCATAGGCTGCATCTATAAAGTGGATGTAGCCACTGTGTTAGTCAGTGAACGACCGGTATGGAGTCTTAAAGTTGACGTTTTGGCCGTCACAAACTGTCTTTTTTAACTTTATATATTTGGGGTCTTTTTGCTTTTATTGGACAGGACGGCTGAAGAGAGACAGGAGATGTTAGGAAGAGAGCGGGGGACGCCGTGCAGCAAAGGGCCGAGGTCGGATTCGAACCCACGGCAGCTGCAACGCGGACTTGTGGACGTGCAGGGCACAACATAACCGCAAGGCTATACTCAAGTAAAAAAAATGCCTCTGTGGCAGATTTCTACAAGTTACAAAAACTCATCAGAACTGTCAGCAAAGAGCATTTAAAGCATTCAAGGCCGGGCTCTCGAGTAGACGGAGCTCCCCCAACCTTCAGCGAGGTGATCTGGCACTACTACCACCCGTCGTCCCTGACGCCCAGCCACCACCATCAGACTGTGTCGTCCCCACAACCACCGCCGTCCTCATTCATGCACGGCCTGCTCCGACCTCCACCTCAGCGGTGAGGAAGTGTGGACAACAGGAACGCCAGGAATACAAAGGAGGAGAAATCCTTCCTGCATATTATCCAATATGCTCTTTTTGTAAAGCGTCTCGAAATAACACTTGTTATGAATTGGCGCTTTACAAATAATGATTGATTGATTGAAGGTGAAAGTGCTCAGCTTGAACAGTGACCCCTGGAAATGTTTTTTACTGTAAGAAGTATATTATCCTATTTCTTTGATGCATTCCTTTATAATCAGCATTTTACTCTTGAAATGATTTAAGCTGCTTTTTAACTATTTCACATCCTGACACACACGCACTCTTAAGTTAAATGAAACCATAATATTTGATTAACTCATAAAACAAAATTCTGCTTGATGTGACTTAAATGTTTTTAAATCTCACTGTAAAAGATCTAAATCTGTCAGATAAAGTCAAAGTCTTTTAAAGCATTTTAAAATTGGACTTAAGTACTCTGTCACTTTCCATCGCTGCTCTGTTTCTGTAAAACTAAAGAAGTGACTCTGCTGCTGTGAGTTATCAGGAGAGTTTAAAAGTATTGATTATTTTATTTCATGTTTATTTGTAGAGGGACGAGTACGGAGCGAGTAGACGGCTAACACATTTAAAGCAGCTCATCTGTAATGTCCGTCCCTCGATGAGTCTTTGAAATACTTAAAAATCAAACAACAGATACACAAAATGATTTTAAAACGCTTTAGTGAAAATCTGTTTAAACACGATAGGAGAAGAACTTTTGAGTATGAATGTTTTCTGCAGGTGTGCTTCTTCTTCTACACCTTTGGAAGGATTCACACACACAAACATGTTCCTGCATGTAAAGAAAATTCTGCAGCTGGTGTGAAGATGTATTAAAACACAATCATCACAGATGCTGACATGATTAAAAAAAAGTCAAAATGTAACTTTTTAAAGAAGCTCAGGTCAAATTTTTGATCATGAGTTCAGAAAAATGTGAAACAAGATCCTTCAATCTGAAAGTGTCAGTAAGCAAGAATACTTTATGACTCTCTCTGCTTTGTCCTTTAAGTATTATCTTAAACAGTGGTTCTCAACTGGTGGGTCGGGACCCAGTAGTGGGTCGTGGAGCCAAATGTGAGCCTGGAAAAGAAAAAGTGTTAATTTTGTTCAGTCTCTTCTTTCTGGGACATTTTTTGTAACGATTGAGATCCAAACTGCAGAATTTTTCAGTATCTGAAATTTGGGTTGCGTTTTTTTAACAGAGGAGTTGGAGCTGGGTTTCGAGGCCAGGCGAGTTGAGAACCTCTGATCTAAAAGACAAGAGCTTGACATTCTTCTGCAGGAACCGTCGGCTTTCTCGAGCTTCTCAAACCAAGACATTTTTTTATGAGATGATTAAAACATCACTCGTAACCCCAGCTGTCACATAAAGGGAGAGAAATTTACAATGATTGTCTGTAAAATAAAGAGGACAAGAAAGTCTCAGAAAGAAGACCACCTGTTAGCTGTGTGTGTGTGTGTGTGTGTGTGTGTGTGTGTGTGTGTGTGTGTGTGTGTGTACAGGTGAATAAAAGGCCTCTTTTCTGTTTTGTGTGTTTTTCCCAGGAAGGTCATTTTAATGGATCTGGATGAGCAGACAGATCGAGGGAATCAGCGTCCCAGCGTTCATGTTCATGCTTTAGATGCTTTTGATGCTTTCAGCTCAAACAAAACGTACAAACACTGAAACAGTTCACTTGTTCAGACAGGAGGAGCATGCAGCAGTTTACAAATACACAGACAGCAGGTCATTTTACAGCTTTTTTTTTTTAAAGAAAAAAAAAAGATCTTTAACATGGCTGTCGATATAAAAAACATCTAATTTAATTTGTTTGAAAAGTGCATCAGAGACAGTCGACAGAACGTCTCCAGTGTTGTTGTTCTTTTTGAAACAGAAGCTCTGACATAAATATATGATTTCAAGTCTAGTTTTTTTCTTCTCCTCGCTGCAATTGTTCACGTGGAATTACAAATAAAAACACTTAAAAAATAGAAACAAAATGTCAGAGTGTTAATGTCAAGTAACAAATTAAGAGGAAGATTTTTTTTAAAATGTTTTTTGCATTTCAATAAAGTTGTCATTTTGAGAAAGAAATCAGATTTTCTGCATTTGTTATTTTAAATCAAACGAACTGAAATACAGGAATATTTTTTTCTACAATTTAACTTTACATTTTTTACGTTTTTCTCAAAACGAAAAAATTCTACATTTTTGGACTTTCAAAATAAAATTTCAAATCTTCCTTTTTTTAAATTTGTTTTTAATGCCTCAGTCAAATACTCTCAAATAAAAAATAAAAACGACTGCCTGATTATTTGGTTTGCATTATTTTTAATTGTCCTGTTATTTTCAGAGGACAGTCCAGAGAGTGAAAAACGCATTTCCTTTTCGGCTGAACTTTTGTTTTCGTTCGCAGAAAAGAAACAGCAGAGAGGCCCGAGTGCAGAAAAGTTAAAGAGTCATTAATCTGAGAGACTTCTTTGAGTGTGAGAAGAAAAGACTCCAAACACAAAAGATCCGGATCATTTGTCACGATCCGACCCGCAGCCCCGAGTCTGTCTGCTGGGGAGGAATTCAAATGAAACCATTAAAAATCATTAGAGGGGTTTTTAAATGACAGATTCACAATTAATAAATGTATTATAATTGTTGCTGAAGATCTGAGGTCAGCCTGCTGTTTCTTTACATGACGGTTAAACATGTTCAGGGTGAGATGATGGATTCTTTTTTTTTTCTTCAGAGAAATTAACACGATAAAAAATATTTAAAAAATAATGATCGCACGTCCTCACATTCTCGTCACGGAGTTGAAACACTGCTTTGGAGTTGCAAAGTTATTATTTCATTTAGTCTCTTTTTTTTCAAAGTCTTTATAAAAAGTGTTGAGAGTCCCCGTCAGTGCACCGTCACCGCGGGCTGCAGCGCGGAGGCCGAGGAGGACAGCGCCTCTCCGGGCGCGACCGGGCTGCTCTGCCCGGCTGCTGTCTGCGGGGATGTGGGGCTCAGCGACTGGGGCGAGTTCGCGAGGAAAGCCGGGATGTGTGTGGGCAGCCCCGGCAGGCCCGCCATGGAGGTGGGCGTGGGTTTAATGGGTACTGGGATGGCGGGCAGAGTTTGTCCGCTGTGACAGAGAGACTTCAGCGGCATGCCATAGGCTGAATAATCGCTGGTTGCCATGGAGATAGGGGTCGCGGTGTCCATCATGCCGGAGCCGTACATGTGCGGCCAGGCCGGGGTCAGCTGGTTGTGGAGCGGGTACCCGGCGGTGGAGAAGGCCGCCAGCCCGCCCGGCATCTTGTACTCTCGGGCGATGATGTTCTCGATGGCGAACGGGTGTTTGAAGCCGGACGGCTGAGACACGGAGCTCAGGTTGTATCCAGCCGGCATCTGCGGGAGGTGCGCGGCGGCGTGCAGCGCGCTGAGCCGCAGCTTGGCCTGCTGCTGCAGGTAGTGAGCGGCGTCCTGGGTCTTGCTGGGCGCCAGATGATCCGTGGCCTGCATGCTGCCCACCTTAAAGCGCTTCCTGCGCCGCAGAAAACTCCCGTTCTCAAACATGTCGCCGCAGCTCGGGTGCAGAGCCCAAAAGCTGCCCTTGCCGGGCTGGTCCGGTCTGCGCGGGATCTTAATGAAGCAGTCATTAAAGGAGAGGTTGTGGCGCAGAGAGTTCTGCCACCGTTGCGTGTTCTCCCGGTAATACGGGAACCGGTCCATGATGAACTTGTAAATCTCACTCAGCGGGAGCATCTTCTCCGGGCAGCTCTGGATGGCCATGGCCGTGAGGGAGATGTACGAGTACGGAGGCTTCTGGTCGCTGTAGGTGTTCCTCCCCGGGCGAGGCATTATGCTGCTGAACCGGGCCGGGATGAGGAGACTTCAGACAGTCCGCCAATAAGAGCAGAAAAAAAAAAATCACTTCTTCCCAAACTTTGTCTCAACACTCCCAACTCTTTAAAACACCTTTACCCGCGGACAGAAACCTGCCTGGTGTTTGGCACGCATGGCCCCGTCTGAGCCAAAACTCCGCCGTTAAGTTAAAAAAAAAAAAAAAGTTGCAGAGGCAGCGGCTGGTTCCTCCTCTCCTCTCCTCCTGTCTGCTTGCGAGTCCCCGGCAGGTGCAGCGCGGTGTCCGTCCTCCTCCTGCCCTGCTGCTGAGCTGCGCTAAGCGGCTGTTGCCTCCTCCATGTCCCTGTCCCGGTGTGTCCCGTGTGCGGGCTGGACGGCGGTGACAGCAGCAGAAAAGACCCCCGGAGAAGAGCTTCATTAATGGGCCACTTCTATCACTATCACATGATCACATCCAGGAGGAGGAGGAGGAGGAGGGAGGGGGCTCAGGGGGGAGTGGGGGGAACGGGGGGGGCACAATGTGGTTTCATTTACACGTATTTACATGGACGCACTGAGCCAACACGAGACATTTTCATTTGAAGCTGCGGCGGCAAACAGAGCAGAGCAGAGCCGCGCATGAAGCCTGATTATCGGGGATGTTTGTGACGGAGCAGCGCTGCGCCATGTGGAGGTATGTTTGGACACACTTTACGCGCAGCGCGTTTGTGTGTGTATTGGAAGTGTATGAGTGTGTGTGTGTGTGTGTGTGTTTGGGTTGAGGGGGGTGTTCGGAGCCCCCCAACAATTTGCATTGACAAATAGATCCACTGAGAGCTGCTGTTTGAGCGGCTTTAATGGCAATTTGCTTTGTTTCTGTTTTATGTCGGGTTTTTTTTCTTTAACAGCTGCGAGCTGAAGCTGCCGCGCGGCAAACAAATCACAGAGCATGACAACGAGACTCAGACGTTTCCACGTATTTATCTTTAATTCTTTAACACGTTTATTATTATTGTTTTTTAATTACAGATAAAGAAGAGCTGAGTTTCTTAGATTCTTAGTAGAAACAAATTAACTTTGATCATCGCACATTTTCATTCATGGCACATTCGTTTTATTTTTTAATTGCTCCTTTTATCGGTGAATTTTAACCCTAATTACCTTCACTTGCTTTTAATCACGGACGCTTCTCAACAGACTGAAGAACATTTAATTTATTTAAAGGACAAAATGTCACATTTTTTAATCACACTTTAAGCAGAAACCATTAGGGCCTGATGTTAAGAGAGAAATTAAAAACATTTCATTTTGTTCCAAGTATAATTTATTGTATTTATACATTTATTTTCAGGTTGTCTGATGTTTGTTTTTTAATTATTAGGCCTATAAATAATTTATTTTATGAATATATCCTTTAGTTTTGTTACTTTTCTTTGTGAAGAAATATGAAACAGTTCATACACACACGAGACGTCTGTCCACATTATTATTATTTTTATTATTATTATTATTATAATTGTAGTTATTATTTTATACAACTTTAACACGAGAGTGCGTTCAGGTGATTACTTTAATTTTAATTATCTAAAATAAAACGTGTACTTAATTAATATCGTCACATGAACAGACACTAAAGAAGAAGACGAGTCCGTTTTTTAAATCGTTTTTTATGACACCATGATGATAATTAGGATAATCGTGATTTAATGGAGTGTGAGAGCTCTTACTTTATTGTTAAACTGATTCATTTCATAGATTTACAAGACAATCAATAATCAATGAACGACGTGTCTGTTGAGAAGGGTTTTGTTTTACAAAAAGAATTACATAAATTAAAAAACTCTTTATTTATTCTTGATCTTTTTTTGTTTTTGTCTTTTTTTTTTTTTTTACATTTTTATCAGATTTAAGAGAAAATAATGATTTCCCCGCTTTGTAGTGGTCCCTGAAGGCAACACATGTTATTGTGGTTCCTCTCAGATGAAATCAAAGAGTGATGATGTTTCAGAGAGACGATTTAAACATGACGGGCCGAAGGTTTAATATTCCCCGAGGAGCCCGAGGACCAAGAGGAGGACCAGGAGGAGGAGGACCAGGAGGAGGGGGGGGTGACACCAAACAGCCACTTTCACACGTCTGACCTTTGACCTCTGAGCTGATAATCTGACAGGGAGCGTTCAGGATGCAGAGACACGCTCAGAAAACACAGACGCAGCGTGAAGAGAAGTTCACTGAAGAGTTCATTCATGAACAGAAATCATTATTCATGTTTGAAATATCAAGTATGTGTGTAAGATTTTTATGATTATTAGACATGTTTCTTTAATGTTATTTTAAAGTGTTTATCATGAAGTACATGAATCATCATCTCTTCTTTGTATTTTGTGTTTTTTTTAACTGTTTTTTCATTTTAAAAGTTCAAAAAAATGTAGAAACCAAAATAAACGTTGACAGATTTCTTAAAGATGACGCTGCTTTTTATTTCTCTTTCTGTTGCTTCAAATCGATTCTTTAAAAATCATCTAAAGATTTGTAGGCTGCAGTTTATTATCTTTATATTTGATATTAAAATTATTAAAATTATCATATTACTGCCCATTTTGTGTGTGTGTGTGTGTGTGTGTGTGTGTGTGTGTGTGTCCGATGGTTATAATAACATTTAACATTCAGTGTTAATATTTACGTTTGGGTTTGTCATCCTTCAAATGGTTAACTTTGCAGCCAGTCTGTAATATTATTTAACCAGTATAATAAAACGATATTAAAACTAAAAAGAATACTTTATTTCTACATAAGTTAGAGTCCAGATTCTGACTGAAAACATTTCATATGTGTGAGAAAGCGAGCTTCTTGAGTTTGTTTAGAACAGGATGTGAGTTCTTTCTTTCAAACTGAGCATTGTTGTTTGTTTGTTTCTTTAATTAATGGTCTTTGTCAACAGAACATTTTTTTTTTTTTCAGTTTTGTGATATTATATATTTTTTCTTCCTCTGTGTATCTGTTTGGGTGAAGCTGCTGTTTGTCGTCGTTACAGGAATCAATAAAGTTTTATTAAAGAACTTTATTCAAACATCCACCATTACTTTCAAAAAGATGACATTTTACTATTAATAATAAACACAGTAAACTAATAAACATCGAGAACATGTTCAATAATGAGCAGTGTGTTTGTGTTTGTGTGTGTGTGGGTGTGTGTGTGTGTGTGTGTGTGTGTGTGTGTGTGTGTGTGTGTGTGTGTAAAAAGATAACTGGCTCTCTCTCTTCTTGTTTTGCAGATGATGTCCTCACACACACCAAACAAGCTTCTCCTGGATTAACACACACGTTCATTTTTTCACCTCATCTGTACTCGTGTTATGTTTTTATTTCAGCTGTGAGGCCGTGTGACAACAAACTCTCTCTCTGTATCACTCATTTGTTTATCCAGCTCAGAAGAAGTTTAACCCTGACACCTCCAACATGACTTTCTAAGCATTCAGCGGCCTGCGGTGAACACGAAGGCAGCAGGACTATTTTATTTATTTAATTACAGCATCGTGTCACAAATCACAAAATGCCTTGGGGGGGGGGGGGATCTGACAGCCTGTAGCAGACTGTATTTACAGCCTGACTCGTCTCACAGAAGGAAAAACGTTCAGGAGGAGAAGCAGAGAAGACATGCCTGTTCAGGACAGAACGGCAGAACATGAACTCAGAGAGAGAGAGAGCAGAGCTGCATTCACATTAACAGATCAGAAGACTGTGATGTTTTCAAGCCCTTCACGCGTCTCTTAAAGCTGAAAATGTTACGTTTATTTATCTTACACACCGACAAAGAGCAGAGGAGGGGTGACCGTCTAACTCACAGAAGTTAGCTGACAATCTTTAGTAAGAAATCACTTCAATTGGGAAGCCTATCGGACTTCTATTTGTGTTGTTTTGTACAGTATTGTATCTTATTCATATTTTAAAATTCATCAAGACAATATTTAAGGGTTTAACTGCTGCATCATAAATGCTCTTAAAAGCTACTCTCATTTTGTTCAAACACAGCGGGCTTTAAAGTACAACACGTCCAGAAGTCAAGCAACAAAATAAATGTCAGAAATGTGTTTTATTTCCTGAGTGCAGCATTTTGTTTCTATTCATGTGTTTCTCGATTTGCAGTGTGTTAAACTCTCAGGGCCACCGAACAAGAAATCCAACCATTATTAAAGTTCTTCATCTCATGAGCGGGATCTGAATCCATCTGAAGGAAGATGTCCAAAATATTAAGATTATTTAAATTACACTGAGCTAGTTTGAGGGTAAACGATTGAGCTGCGGCACAAGTTGGAGATCACTCCCCACAAAATAATGGCCATGTTAAAGAGCGAGAGTGTGTGTGTGTGTGTGTGTGTGTGTGTGTGTGTGTGTGTGTGTGTGTGTGTGTGTGTGTGTGATCTGCCTCCTTTCTAACTCTGAGTGCAGCTGAAGTGTCGGGGGATGATGAGGTGCGTGCTGAAGGACCAACGCCAGCGCTGCTACTCTGCATATCAAAATACACACACACACACACACACACACACACACACACACACACACACACACACACACACACACACACACACACACACACACACACACACACACACACACACACACACACACACACACACACACACACACACACACACACTCTGCAGCGTTGTGGGAGGCAGATGGAGATTGGATCAGGTGTGTGTCATCTTAAGGAGGCCATGACAATACAGAGAGGACTTCCTTTGTTATACATTTTAATCAACTGTAGAGAAGGCTTTTCTCATGCAGCGTTCATATTATGTATGAATTACAGACTAGTGCATGTTTTGTTGCTGATAGATTAACATGTACACAAATATCATGTCACTCCATGGCATGTCATTGAGATGCACAAGAAAGCCTGAAGAAGTCCTTTTCTTCATGACAAATGAAAACGTTTCTCGTGTGTTGACTCAGCAGCAGAGGTTCCACTTTGAGATGGATTAAGGGTGACCCCCCCCCCCCCCCCCCATGACAAGGCCTCCGCAGGTTTGTTGAGCCTTTATTATGAAATTAATTAATCGCTGCCAATGTGTGTTAGCCGTTACTGCCCGCAGCATGCCTCCAACAACCCTTGTCCCTTTGCATATACCCCCCCTCCCCTCCCCTCCCCCTCAGTCAGAGCTGCTGATTTATCAGGAGGAGAGAATTCAAACAGCACACGATTACACTGTTTGAATATGGAGGGGTGCAGTATGTGTCAGTGTGAGGGTGGTGAGAGAGTGAACACAGTTACATGTTAATGTTTCCATGACATCCGTTATCTTTCTCTGCAGGTTCAAGAGAGCGAGTTCGACCCCCCCCAACGATTTTCACGGGGATAACAGGAGAGAAGCTTTCTTGGAACATCTGGAGTTCAGAT